AAATCACAGTGGAAAAGTGGAAAATCACAGTGGAAAAATGGAAAATCACAGTGGAAAAATGGAAAATCACAGTGGAAAAGTGGAAAATCACAGTGGAAAAGTGGAAAATTACAATGGAAAAATGGAAAATCACAGTGGAAAAATGGAAAATCACAGTGGAAAAATAAAAAATCACAGTGGAAAAATGGAAAATCACAGTGGAAAAGTGGAAAATCACAGTGGAAAAATGGAAAATCACAGTGGAAAAATGGAAAATCACAGTAGAAAAGTGGAAAATCACAGTGGAAAAATTGAAAATTAGAGGATATTCTAAATAATAAATAATCAAATTCATAATGAGTTCATTCCTTTGTATCAAAAATCAAGTTTGAAATTTTACTGTCATGACACTACTGGCCTGTTCTGTCAGTGTTTTAAAAAATCACCACAAATCAACAAAACCCAACTCCAGGTCCGTTTGTGATGAGGAAACTACATTAAAACATAATATGTCTGTTTTAAATGTAAACTTAAAGGATGTATGTATGTATGTATGTATGTATGTATGTATGTATGTATGTATGTATGTATGTATGTATGTATGTATGTATGTATGTATGTATGTATGTGGTCCGTGCTCTTACGGTTTTAAAAAAGGTTCTGACCCTGAGTCTCCAGAGCTTCACCTGCAGAAAGTTTGTCTCATTCTCAGTTTCTGCTCAGGCCTCACGCGAAACCAGAACCTCCAGACGACTTCCGGTGCAGTTCCCGGCTCTGGGCATGTGATAAAACAATAAAACCGTGGATTCAGCAACAGCAAGAGCCGCCACAGCCCGTCAAAGCTTTTCCACGGGTGACACGGGGACTTGACTTGTTGACTGGGACTCTTCGATGTCAGTGACTTTCCACTTTTCCACTGTAAAAAACCAGGACATTTTCTGTTTTTATTTTTGAGTTCGTCGTCATCGGAAGGTTTCCAGATGTCTTCCGGTTTTGTGACATAAGCAGTCAGTTTGTGCGATATCGGACCAAAACAGAACTTAACGTAAGAACAATTAAATAATTTCTAAACGATTATTAAAGCAGAATTAAAAGGCTCCAAAAGTGCCACATCAGAAAACAGCTCAGTACGACTAAAGAGAATAAAGCTCCTGGTGTGTGTCAACATGAGACGACTAGAGTTGAACTTGTGTGACAGAACTTCTTTCTTTTTTTTTTTTTTCTTCTGATTTTATTTATTTGTAATGGGACAGTACATATTAATGAACATTAAAAATGTAAATATGTAAAGATTATAGCCAACGTGGCTCATTTCCATCTTCAGCCCCTCGGCAGGTTGGTGTAAAATCATCTATAGGCGAGTTTCATTGTTGACAAAAGCGTGCGTTGCATGCTGGGAATTATTTTGGTCGGCAGCAAGAAACACTAATTCAACATGATGGACGGAGCGAGAAAGCACGTAAAGGGTATTGATCCTGGTTATTTATCCAGTCTAACAGCAGAGGACCCAAGACCATTTGACCAGAAATTGGTCATAAGCATCGACGGACGACAAATCACCCTTTTCAACCCCGACAAAAGATGGAACCAAACCAAATTTCTGGTCAGAATCTCCAACTACCTGGACAAATATTCACTTGGGCGACATCCACAATGACTTGGTGGAAACTCCTGGGCCATTCACAGCAGAAAAGATGAAAACCTCCAAGAGTCTCGATGTGTTGTTGAACTTGTTGGAGTCCACGGTTTGTTAGGATCTTCTACGTTTGCTCTGCGGATGTTTGAAAGACGTTTAATTCACCGTTAGTGGTTCTTTTCACTCAGAATACGAAAAAGACATTTTCCTTCTTCTGTGCTTCTATTTGTGCGTCCGATAATGCAGCAGGAATTTACCATTATCGGGGATAAATACTCGAGGTTACGCACTGTGTTTGACGCTACCGTGTTTCTTGCCTCCGACCAAAATATTTCCCTGCAGCAACGCGGGCTTTTAATAACAATGACGTCAGCTCAAACTCGCCTATAGGACGAGGAAAAGTACAGCAACAATCACACAAAAGTACACAACACCAGCACACACACTGTACACACAACACACACACTGTACACACAATTAGTTTCAAACTGTTCATTTGAAGTTCAAAGTCAAAAGTTTAAGAGTTAAACCAACAACCCTTCAAAATAAAAGAAAATATAAATTGGTTAAACATGGAGACATATTTGACCATTGAATAACCAGTGTTTTAAAGCTTTAGAAAACGCTGCAGTGTTGAAAGTTCTCGTACATGAGCAGTTTCTCTGTGTTCATGTTTGAGCTGCTCGATAAACAAAAGAGAGTTTGTCCAAAAGTACTTTTCCTAAACGGCCCAGAGCGTCGCCTCTGGAGCTGCTCCTGTTGTGCGATTTGAATTTCTTTTCACAAACTCCTTTAGCGAAGGTGGAGCAAGATGATTAAAAACTTTGTGTAGCAGAATTAAATCTGCATATTTGATTGTGTTGTCCCAATTTAGGAATTTGTATTTGTCAAGTTTTCTACAACAGTGATCATTAGTGGGCTTTTTGTCTAATACTTTAAGTGATTTTTTATATATAGTTTCAGCTCATTTAACAGTAGTTTTGTTTGTCAGAGTCCGAGTAGTAACGCAGTAATTTAGGTTCAGGTCAGACTCACTGCAGGATGAACAGAACGAGTCTGACGGGGTCTAAACGGAGAGAGTGACAGGTCGAGTGTGAGATAAAAAGATGAAGAGATCAGAGAGAGAAAAAGAAAGAGAAGAAGAGGAAAGAATCAGAACCAGAGACGAGAGGAGAGAGGAGAGAGAGCAGAGCTGAACACACACACACACACACAGAGAGAAAGAGGGAGGGAGACGGACGGAGTGTGACAGAACAGAGGAGATAAAAGAGAGTTTCTTTGTGGAGGTGAGGAGGGGGACAGCGCCATCCACAGGCCACACACAGACAAGACACGAGAGCAGCAAACACCCTGCACAAACACAAGGATTTACTATAAAAATATGTGATTATTTAAAGATTATTGTTGGTTTGTGATGTCGTGCTCCAGATGGTTGGAAAGTGACTGTAATTAATGAAAAAAAAATTGTACTTTACCATGAAATATTGGAAAAATAAATTCCCAAATATGGAACCTGATTATTTCTATTTTTGACAAGCCCCAATGCTATAAAAAAACAACAAACAAACCTGCATTTCAACAATATTTTACCTGCACTCGTCTGTCCTAAAGATGGGTGCAGGTGGACACTTCATTTCTGCAAATTTTAGACACAAATTGTTTTTTTTTTTGGACTGAAAAACCTGCGTTCTTACTCTGAGTGGACTCGCATCTCCACAAACCTGACTCTTATCTGGTCTGGAGGAAGGTCTTCAGCTCGTTTCCGTGGAGATGTTGTTCCTTTGGCCGTTGTCCATAAATATTCCAGAAGTTATCAGCGGCTCCATCGTCGTCACAGTAAATATGTTCTACAGACGGAGCAGTTTTACAGCCTCCAGAGTCGGAGCAGTGGGACGTGTCGGGGAGTAACAGATTACATGTTCCAGAGTTATGTAATCAGAGTACAGTTTATGAGTAACTGTATTCAGTTACAGTTACTGTTTCAGTGAGTGGTAATCGGATTACAGTTACTTGGTTGAAATAAATGGATTAAACAGAGGGATTTTCCTGTTTTCACATTTTGGGCTAAATCCTTTTTTTTTTTTTTTTTTTTCCAGTAATTCCACTCATTGCCGGACACTAAACCAGGACTAAACCAGGACTAAACCAGGACTAAACCAGGACTAAACCAGGACTAAACCAGGTAAACCAGGACTAAACCAGGACTAAACCAGGACTAAACCAGGTAAACCAGGACTAAACCAGGACTAAACCAGGACTAAACCAGGACTAAACCAGGACTAAACCAGGACTAAACCAGGTAAACCAGGACTAAACCAGGTAAACCAGGTCTAAACCAGGACTAAACCAGGACTAAAACAGGACTTAACTGGACTAAATCATGCTGCATGGACTGTGTTTCCTCATCTTCTATCAAGAATATTTTTAAATTTGGTTGAGTAAAGTTTGGGCTTTTTTATTTTCTTTTAACAGATAAAACTTCTCATGTGAAGATTTCCTCATCTTTGTTTCTCTACAACAAATCAAGTAATCCAAAGTATTCAGATTACATTACTCACTTTAAGTAATTTAATGGATTCTGTCACAGACTACATTTTGGGGTGTGTAATCTGTAATCTGTAGGGGATTACATTTTAAAAGTCACACTCCCAACACTGCATGTTGGTCACATGAACATTTCACACACATCAGTCTGTTTCTGTGATGTTAGTGTTGAGTAACTGTTGAATTCTGACTCAACTTAAACCTCTTTAAGCAAATGATGCATCAGTGATTTGAGCCTGAACACATCAGAGTTTGTGACGCAGGAACTGAGGAAGAACCTGAGGAAGAACCTGAGGAAGAACCTGAGGAAGAACCTGAGGAAGAACCTGAGGAAGAACCTGTGGAAGAACCTGTTGGGCTCTGTGCTCTGAAGGACACGGCCTGGACCAAAGGGACGATCATCACCACTTGTCTGATGTGGAATATTTAACAAGTATTTCCTCCTGCACTTCACTGGTCTGTGTCATTCTCAGACTGACTCTGCATCACAAGTGTCTTTTTGAACAGACTCACAAGAGAAAAATGGAAATAATGACTAAAAAAATAAAATAAAAACTATTTTCATGTCAGATAAACATTTTTACAAAAGCTAAAAGTGAATTTTTCTAAAATTTTAAATGAAATCGTGGGCCATGGATGGTAAAAGTAGAATATCACATCAGCAAGACAAATGTGGGAGACCCAGACCTGACCCAGACCCGACCCAGACCTGACCCAGACCCGACCCAGACCCTGACCCAGACCCAGACCCGACCCAGACCCGACCCAGACCTGACCCAGACCCGACCCAGACCCGACCCAGACCTGATTGTGTTAAATATGTAAATATGGGGCAAGTGCATTTTCTTCAAAAAAAGAAGACAATTTATTTGACATTGTAAAAATTGATTCAAACCAAGTATTTTCCTGTAAAATATTTGCACATTTCAGGACATCAGAAGATAAAAATTGCCCCATAAGAAAATCTTTATCATAAATGTACATCTTTTAAAACATTAAATATATTTTTGTACAAAGTGAGATGTCGCTTATGAACAATAAACACTTTAAAAGTTTCAACATTTGCTCAAAGTAAAAGTTTTAGGACAGCTGCAGTCCGAGGCCCCGCCCCTCACTGAGGCGGTGGGCGTGGCCACAGGACGTCTCCAGGAAGTGTCCGCTCTGAGACGCGTCCACGCTGAGGCCGAGGACGGAGGACGAAGAGCAGCTGCGACAGAGACACAGGGACATGTGTTAGAACGACATTTAACGTGACACTAAACACACAAGAGTTTATCACAGGCGTCGTGTGTCTGCGCTGTGATGGTGAAGAATCAAATCAAAAAAATAAACACAATTTTTCAGAAAGTTGTATTTGTGCTGATGCTTCAGTCAGAGCAGGAGATTCCTCTAGAACTTGTGTGGGTTTAAAGAGTCTGGGAGAAGAACCTGCAGCTTCTGGAGAAAAGTTAACCTAGACTCCCACACTCCCACACACACTCCACACTCACACACACACACTCCCACACTCCCACACTCCCACACTCCCACACTCCCACACTCCCACACCAGCCGTACTGCGCCCGTTTACCTCTCGTAGTCGGAGTCGCAGCTCCTCTCCTCCAGCGGCGGCACACAGGCGCTGCCCGACCTGTGGATGGCCTCTGCCACCGTGTACCGGGTCTGACCCCGGGCACAGCGCTCCATCCTCCTCACGCTCAGCTCAGACTGAAGGAACAGGTGCAGGCGACTGTCCGACAGGAGCAACGGGCACTGGACCACCCTGACAACACAGACAGGCTCAGAGACGCCGACGGGCCCGGAGACGCCGACGGGCCCGGAGACGCCGACGGGCCCGGAGACGCCGACGGGCCGACGCCGACGCCCGGAGACGCCGACGGGCCCGGAGACGCGGACGGTAATGATAGAGTAAAATAATATCATCTCAGTTCAAAGTGAAACTCACGTCTCTAGAAACGTCTGCAGGCCCTTCATCCTGAGGGCCACCTGCTCGGGGCTGCGCAGGTGGAAGAAGGGCATCCAGGGGGGCAGCTTGGGCAGCTCTCTGAGGGCACAGGGCACTCAGTGTACTCTCAGTATACACTCAGAGTACTACACGCAGTACATGTATATACTTATGGTAAATGACACGTACATGACGAGGCCGTTCTGCTGCAAACTCTGACGGAGCCAAACAAACTCACTGTAGCGTCTCCTCACGCTCGACCACTTCCTCCTGAAGCACATCGAGTTTGTCTGTACACACACACACACACACACACACACACACACACACACATTAGAACACAATACTTTAATGACCTGGTGTACAATACCAGTACTACAGGTTTTTGTAGAGCAGAGTAAACAAAAACACTTTAGGAAGTATCAGGCCACAGGAGCATGTACATGTACAAATATAAGTGCTCAAACATTTGTTAGACAAGAGAGCGACAACACACCACACACACACACACACACACACACACACACACACACTCACAGCTGAAAACACACACACACACACACACACACACACACACCCTCACAGCTGAAAACACACACACACTAACACACACACACACCCTCACAGCTGAAAACTGTGCTAAAACACACAGACACACACAACACACACAGACACACACACAGACACACAGACACACACACAGACACACACACACACACAGACACACACACACAGACACACACACACACACACACAACACACACACACACACACACACACAAACACACACAGACACACACACACACACACAGACACACAACAGACACACAGACACACAGACACACACACACACACTCCAGTAGTTCACCTCTAGGCAGATCTGGTAGTCGAGGTACGTGTGCCACACGTCCTGTTTGTACACACGAGGGTCTCGCACACTGATGCTGACGAACTCCTGAAGATGAAGAACATGACTTTATTACAGGGTACACACACACGTACACACACGTACACACACACAGACACACACACGTACACACACACACACACACATACACACACTACAGGGGTTACTGACACTACAGTGAACACGTGGACAGAGGAGGAGCAGAGACTCACAGTTCGGGCCAGGTTCTCCAGCAGGTGCTCCATCCTGGTCCCACCTGCAGCACACACCTGGACAGAACACACACAACTCTCTTTTATACTGTTCAAATGTCATTCAGTGGATCAGCAGAGGAACATGTTTATGAGGATTCATATGATTCCATTTATAAATAACAGCATTATTCAAAGCGTAAGAGCTTGAGGCTGATGTCTGAGCTCTGTCGTTGGGTGGAGCAGTTCATGTTTCACTCTGAGGAGCTCCTGTAAAACAGCTCTGAAAACCACTGCTCATCTGTGTATCTGACCCAAACTGTACTCAAGACTTCACCTGCAGGAGGAATTCATACAAAAACTACTATTTATACAAAAAGAAACAAGAAAAAACTGTTTATATAAAGTCTGAATAAAGAGCGACTCATGAGTTTAATCTCCTCTTTTTACAAATACTAAAAAACACAAAATCTCCATCTAAATAAAATGATTAATCACGTGATAGAGCTTCTGGTAGTTTAAGTGACAGGTGACAGGTCCTGAAGGTCTGAGCACAAAAGCACAAACACGTCCACAGGGTAAACACGTCTCACTAACAAAGATCTGCCTCAAACAACTCAAACACAACTCTGTTTTTACTTTAACTCTGTATTTAGACTCTGACATCGTGGCCGATCTCTGAACTAAAGGGAAAAGGAGCTTCATGACATCACGAGGTGGAACAGAGTGTTTTGAGATTTGGAGATGCAGACAGACTCATAATAAACAAAACTTAAAGCTGATTAGACTTAGTGTGTGTGTGGGACTGTCAGATGTGATCATGTGACAGAACCCACTGTCCTTCAGCCTAATGTTTAACACCTCTGACTGTTTTCTGATTCTGACAACTTCATCCACGTGTTGATTACATCATGGACATAATCCAGATTATGAAGAATTAAACTGGAAAAAAAAATAAAGTGATCCGTGACCCCGGTTCAGTTCTGCAGCAAGAGAAGAACAGATCTGAAAACTCCACTCGAGTCTAAACGAGGAGGGTTTGTGTGCGGGTCACGTACAGTAAAATGTACAGTACAAAAAAAAAAAAAAAAAAAACAAGAGCTGAGACTCACCGCACAGACCGCAGCACCGGACCCCGAACCGCCTCCCTGAAGATCTGACCCGGGTTCAGCCTCGTCCGGCCCGACCTCAGCCCCGTGTCACCCGGCCGCTCTCCTGTCCCGGGGTCTGGTCTGTCCCGGGGTCTGGTCTGTCCCGGGGTCTGGTCTGTCCCGGGGTCTGGTCTGTCCCGGGGTCTGGTCTGTCCCGGGGTCTGGTCTGTCCCGGGGTCTGGTCTGTCCCGGGGTCTGGTCTGTCCCGGGTTCACTTGTGTCCGCGGGGCTTTTGTGGGGGTCCCTCGCGCAGCAGTACTGTGGCGCTGTGACGCATGGTCACGCCTCTTCTGCTCCGGGGGGGTCACGCCTGGTGCGCGTGCCGTGCGTAAAAGCGCGCGCACATAAACCTGCACATTCAATATTAAGGCGTGAATTAAAAATAAAAATACATTTAACACATTTAATGCCACTACGGCGCTTTCATCAGAGCATCTCATCTCACGCGCGGCCGTGCGTCTGTCTGTGCGCGTGTGTCTGCGCACCTGCGCCTCATCTGCGTCATTAGTTAATTTTTCTCACCTGAGCGCGCGTGAACTTCCGGTGAAGCTGAGAGTTTTCATGAAGTTTTTGTGCAAATGTAAAATGTGTCACATGAAGCTGTTTAACCTTCTCCAGACAGACGCTGCAGATTTGTAACAGCGAAATGACAATTACCTCCAAATCCATATTTTATGAACTTTTTTTAAATCAAGGAGCCTTTTTTCCATCCATGCTGATAAACGTGGATGATGCAGACTGTGAGAACAGCTCCACACAAACGACCTGCCAGAAGTGTGAAGTACTTTTGTTGTTTACAAAGGATAAAAATTGTTTCTTGGAGAACCACATGAAAAAGTGATGTTGTTGTGTCACTGTAAAACTGTTACACTGAGCTTTATGTTTTCATTGTTATGAAAAGTGGTTTACACATAAAGTTATGTTCATATCATTTTCAGTCTTCAGTGTTAATTTACCACATCGGACCAAATCTGAAACATCCCAGACACACTGCATGTGAAGGTCTCTCAAACAAAAGTCAGGATTGTATATTACCGCCCCATATGATCATTTTCCCCAAATATAAGATTTTTTTTCCTGTTACTAAAACTTAATTTGAGCCTGAGAGGTTTAGAACAGATGACAGAAGCTTGAGTTTATGTTGGAAAGACACAAACTGAAGGTTTAGAGAAAAACTTCAGCATCAAACCAGTGATCCAAAAGAGAGAGTCAGATTACACTGACTCCAGGAGCACAGTTGTTTGCTCTCGTGTTGTCTCCAGATCTCCACACTGTCTTCAGGTCTTCAGGTCTTCAGGTCTTCAGGTCTTCAGGAGACATTTTTGTGCCTTAAGTCGACTTTGGTCCATTCTGCTCCACTCACGACCCACCGCTCTCCTCACTCTTCCTCTCTTCTCTGGTCTCCTCCTCTTCTCCTCTCCTCTGCAGGTGTCTGGGTGTCTCCCTTAGAGACAGAGTGAGGAGCTCGGAGTAGAGCCGCTGCTCCTCCACGTGGAGAGGATCAGCTGAGGGGAGGACGTCTGTTCTGACGCCTCCTGGACGTCTCCCTCAGGAGGTGTTCATGTCCCACCAGGAGGACGAAGACCCAGGACACACTGGAGGGACTGTGTCTCTGGACTGGCCTGGGAACACCTCAGGGTCCCTCTGGAGGAGCTGGAGGAAGTGTCTGGGGTGAAGGAAGTCTGGGAGTCCCTGTTTAGACTGATGACTGATGGATACTTGGATTTATTGTGATGTTTTTATATTATTGTGAGAACTTTGACGAGACGATATCACGATATTTGGATTATTGTTCCATCCCTCATAGAAACAGATCCAGATTTTATATTTCATGTTTTATTTTTGTTTTTTGTTTTTTTCAGGTTGAGATGTTCACTCGTGGAATCTGCTCACACAAACTCACCCAAGACAAAAATCAAAAAACTTCACCAACTGGAAAACAAATCTGGACCAAAAACGTAAAGAGAAAGAATCTGTTCGACCGACATCCTCATCCTCACTGCGCTGGACTTGGTCGTTTTCAAGATAATTGTTTTTAAAATGATGACACGTTTTTGGGGACATGTTTGGGTATAATTTCAAATCTAAATGTTCCACACTGCTGCTTTAACGTGCAGGAGCTGGGCCTGTGACCTCTGACCTCTGGGACGTCCAATATTGCGCAGCGTCGTGGAAGAAGAAGAAGAATATTTCCCCGGTGGAATGTGTCCTTTGGAGATAGGGCGGCGCGGCTTCCTCACCATCAATACGATCAATACGGGTCAGATCTGTGGAAGAATGTGACCTGCCCCGGGGCGAGCGCGCACAGACACGAGCCGCCATCCATCACGCTTCTCCTTTTAGTCCTGATGTAGTCCGGGTTTAGTCCAAGCTCAGACCCGCTCCTGGTTGACTTTACACAAACAGGAAGACGTTTGGAAACAGACTACTACTACTACTACTACTACTACTACTACTACTACTACTACTACTACTACTACTACTACTACTACTACTACTACTACTACTACTACTTCTACTACTACTACTACTACTACTACTACTACTACTACTACTACTACTACTACTACTACTACTACTACTACTACTACTACTACTACTACTACTTCTTCTTCTTCTACTACTACTACTACTACTACTACTACTACTACTACTACTACTACTACTACTACTACTACTACTACTACTACTACTACTACTACTACTACTACTACTACTACTACTACTACTACTTACTACTACTACTACTACTTACTACTACTACTACTACTACTACTACTACTACTACTACTACTACTACTTCTACTACTACTTCTTCTACTACTACTACTTCTACTTCTTCTACTACTACTACTTCTACTACTTCTACTACTAACTACTTCTACTTCTTCTCTACTACTACTACTTCTACTTCTACTACTCTACTACTTCTACTTCTTCTTCTACTACTACTTCTACTTCTTCTTCTACTACTACTTCTACTTCTTCTTCTACTACTACTTCTACTTCTTCCGGGCTCTGGTCACGGGAGGAAGTCGGACAAAATCGAGGAACCAGAACCAAAAGTAAGAAAACGAACAACAATTTTCTTTATTATTTGTATCCAAAACCAAAATGAAAAAAACGATTTTGTGTTTAAATGGAAAAATGGAAAACCAAACCGTTGTCACTCCTGTCCTGCTCTCAGGCTCAGTCCTGGTCCCACATTAAGTCCTGGTCTGGTTCTGGACCTGGTTTAGTCCTGGCTCAGTCCGAGTTTAGTCCTGGTTTAGTCTTGTTTTAGTCCTGGTTTAGTCCTGGTTTAGTCCTGGTTTTAGTCCTGGTTTTAGTCCTCCTGGTTTTATTCCTGGTTTAGTCCTGGTTTTAGTTCTGGTTTTAGTCCTGGTTTTAGTCCTGGTTTAGTCCTGGTTTAGTCCTGGTTTTAGTTCTGGTTTTAGTCCTGGTTTAGTCCTGGTTTTAGTCCTGGTTTAGTCCTGGTTTACCTGGTTTAATGTCCGGCAATGAGTGGAATTACCAAACAAATAAAAAAAAAAAAAAAAAAAAAAAGGGAATACAGCCCAAAATGTGAAAACAGGAAAATCCCTCTGTTTAATCCATTTATTTCAACAAAGTAACTGTAATCTAATCACCACTCACTGAAACAGTAACTGTAACTGAATACAGTTACTCATCATTTGTACTCTGATTACTTCACTCTGGTACATGTAATCTGTTACTCCCCAACACTGCCGATGTATCAGGAGGGAGACCGTCAGATCTGTGGAGAGGCGTCCCTATTCACAAAAGGAATGATGGTATTTTTGAGCAACAGAAACAATGAATGAACAATGAATAAATGTTAAATCAGACACATTTGGCCTTTTGTTTGACTCTGACCGGGACGTTTCAGATCATTTGGAATTACAAAATAAACTCTTTTTTTAAATAATTTTACCTCATGAATGGACTAAAGCTGCATTGATTTTATTTTGGGTGTTTTTTTAATGACATTTTTTGTTGTTTGTCTAATTTTTTCACTGCTTTGTGAAACAAACTCTTCCCAGTCTGAGCAGCTCGTCAAAACAATAAGATTTACAGCTTTTTATAAAGAAATACAATTAATATGCAGTATTGGGTTCAGTATTTTGGTCTACACAATATTTTCTCTTTCTCCTGTGGCCCCATGAATAAAATAATTGCTCACTCCTGATTTAGAGTCTAGACCAGCGGTGTCTAACATACGGCCCGGGGGCCAGATCCGGCCCTCCAAGACCTTTAATGTGGCCCTTGGCTGATTTTCTACTAAAATATTTTAATTATATTTTCTATTAAAATCTTGTTAATTTTCTGTGGTGTTTATCACAGCAGCGTCTCCAGCGTCTCTGTACGTGGCCCCTCCCACCAGAGCAGCACAAATGAAGACTTGTCTCTTTCCAAACGCTCTTAAAGGACGATCGTTTTGACTGTTGACCGTGACACCCTCATCAGAAAAATGTCCAACATGAGAAAAGTGGAGCCGAGTGCAGGATTTTACAACAAAAATTGGACTTATTCCTATTTGCAGACAAGTTCATGTGTTAAAATTGTATTTTTCCTAAAGTTTCAGGTTGTTCATAATATTATATTTTGTAAAAGAAAGAGTTCATCAATTAAAAAAGATTTCTGTAATAGATTTGTGTCTCTCTGTACAAATATTTGACCTTATTGTTATTTTGGGGTTTATATGCCCAAAGTCTGTTGGATACGACCCCCGGACCAAAATGAGTTTGACACCTCTGGTCTAGACAGATGTTACTCAGGTCAGGCAGAGTTCACAAAGGTTTTGGAGAATGACCTGAGGAGGAGGGAGGAGCGACAGGTGGGACCATGGGTCATGACCTCAATCACACAATCTGGACCTGCAGACAATCTACATTTTTCTGTCTGTCGCTTTAAGATTTGCATATGTCCTTAAACATGAATTCTGATGGACCAGTTCTTTTCTTTTTCTGAGTCATCACATCAGGTTATGTAAAAGTGTCTCATTGCTCCTGTCGTCTCCAGATGGACCGTTACACAGACCAGGTCAAACACTCCAGGGAGCTGAAGTTGTTTTGAGTTTAATCTTGTTTATTTCCTGGAGAGAAAATCCTCCTTTTGCTGCAGCAGCTCATTTCACCAGAGCAAAGTCCAGCAGCTCCAAAACTCAGCTCACAACACAGTTTAAAGAGACGGTGACGCTGTTTTCTGGTCTGTTCTGAAGCCCAGGTCGGTTTTGAGGAGGTAATAAACATTAGAACACGACTTAAAGCTCAGAGTCAAGTTTGTGTGATTATAGAAGCTTTACCACTTTGTCTCTTTGTCTTGTTACTGTCACGGGGTTTTTCCAAACAAAACCAAATGATTCATTCTCTGACCAAGTTTTGGGCAAGTGACTTCAAAACTGTAAAGTGTAATTTTTTCATTTCAAAATAATTTGTTACTTTACAATATTACTGAGTTTAAAACATAAAATATTACACGACTATCGCAGCACTTTGTTACTCTCAACAAAATAACTGTTGGACTTTTGAGACGTATATGGACTAGACCAGGACTAGACCAGACTGAACCAGGACTAAACCAGGACTAGACCAGGACTAGACCAGGACTGAACCAGGACTAAACTAGACTAGACTAAACAGGACTAGACCAGGACTGAACCAGGACTGAACCAGGACTAAACCAGGACTGACCAGGACTGACCAGGACTGAACCAGGACTGAACCAGGACTAAACAGACTGACAGGACTAACAGGACTGAACCAGGACTAGACCAGGTGTACAGGACTAGACCAGGACTGAACCAGGACTAGACCAGACTAGACCAGGACTAGACCAGGAGACCAGGACTAGAACCAGGACTAAACCAGGACTAGACCAGGACTAGACCAGGACTAGACCAGGACTAGACCAGGACAGGACTAACCAGGACTGAACCAGGACTAGACCAGACTGAACCAGGACTAAACCAGGACTGGACCAGGACTAGACCAGGTGTAAAACAGGACTGAACCAGGACTAAAACAGGACTAGACCAGGACTAAACCAGAATTGAACCAAGTCTAAACAGGACTGGATCAGGTCCAAACCAGGACTAATCTTGGACTAGGACTTGGACTCGGACTCTAGTTCTGTCCCAGAGAAAACTGAGTGTCTTAAAGCTCGATCGGGCGTCAGCTGCTCTTCGTCTCGTGGAGTGTGGAGTTCTGCGTTGGTCCTTTCGCCCGCGGTCACTCGACGGTTTACACGGGCGCATCTCCGGCCCGACCGACACTCGGAACCGTAACGATGTTTCACCGCTGCTGCCATCGCCGTGATTTTAGCAAATTTGTATGAAAAAAAACAAAACACCCACCACTTCAATCCAGGTTAAAAATGCAAATGTGATGCGCACGTTACTGACATTTGTACAGTCAAATATTTTTTTCCCTGTATTCCCACATTACTGCATAACACGTTACTCCCAACACTGACCCAGATTCATGTGGGACTCTGCTTCATATGAATCACAGAATCAAACTGACAGGAGAATATTTTGTTCAAGTTTATTAAACAAATCGAATCACATAAAAGCCTTTAATCTTCAACAAATATAAACAGTTTACAAAAGTTCCCTAATCTGAGACAAACTGAAACGGCACGGCTATAGTGAACGGACAGGTAAAGAAGCAGACTATTTACAAAGGCCCCCCCCTCAGACCCGCCCCGCCCAACCCCGCCCTGAACCCACCCGGACCCAAACAGACCCGGGAAGTGGGGTCTTCCCGGGTCCCGCTTGTCCCCTGATGCCCGAGGTGCCCGAGGTGCCCACCCTGACAGAACTAAAAGGCTAAAGGAGGAGGTAAAACAGGAGTCTACTGCGCCTCGTCCTCGGGGCAGGAGTGCCACGTCAGACGCTCTTCGTAAAAGGAGATGACGACCTGAGGGCAGCGTTTGTTTGCTTCTTTGGCAGGAACCAGGTCTGCCTCATCTGAGTCCTTCCTGCAGACACACACAGACACACACACACACACACACACACTATTAGAAACTGTTCAAAGGTCTGACACCAAATCACCTTCAGTCGTGTTCTTGTACATCTAAATCAGAGGTGGGCAATTATTTTTTCCATGGGGCTACATGAGAAACAGAAAATATTGTGGAGACCAAAATTTTTAACTAAATTCTGCATAATATTAATTGTATTTCTTTAAAAAAAAAAAAAAAAAGGGATAAATATTGTTTTGATGAGCAGCTCAGACTGGAAAGAGTTTTTTTTAATGCTTAGTCAGAACTTATTTAAAAAATGTCTCTAAAATAAAATAAATACAGCTTTAGTCCAGGCATGAGGTAAAATTATAAAATGTTTAGTTTGTAATTCCAAATTATCTTAAAGGGGCTGGTCAGAATCGAACAAAGAGCCGAATGTGGACTTGTACAATGTCCAGGTCTGATCTAAATCATGATGTTTGACCTCCACTGTTTTTAAAGTTCTTACACCTTCAGACTGTTTGAGTCTTGCTTCACTCGTCAGTGTGACAGAGCTCAGACTGGACCAGACCTGAGCACTGTCCAGCTCCAGGGCCACATTCAGCCCTTTGAAGACTTTTTTTTTTTTCATTGTTTAGTCAGAACATAAACTTTTCCCCAGTCTGAGCAACTCGTCAAAACAATGAGATGTATTTCTTTTATAAAAAGCAGTAAACTTCATATTATGCAGAAATCGGTTCCGAATTTTGGCCTCCACAATATTTTTTGTTTCTCATGTGGCCCTATAGAAAAAAAAAAAAAAAAAACCTGGACTGGACCATCTGCAGGGAACTGTGGGTTTAACCTTAAAATTGTACCCGAATTAAACTTGCCGTGTTTGGTGAGAAAAAAAAAGTTTTCTTGCACATGTGTTCAATATAAACCCTAAAGATGAATCTAATGTAGAAAGGTCCGGAGCAAAGCAGTTTAAAGCCCAACACTGGCATCTGTTGGGTTTCCATGGTAACAGTCTTTAGGCCCATGTGAGGTGTGCAGTAGATCGTGTGTTCCGGACGCTCGTGTGAACAGTGAACGCACCATTTCATGAGGAACATGAGCTCGCCGCTGCTGTCCGTGGCCCCGATGATGCGTTCAGGCTCCAGGTTTCTGGCAAAGCCTCGAGGTTTTTCATTTTGCTGCAAAGAGACAGAGAGAGTCAGAGTTAGAACATGATGATATAACATCACCCCAACTCTGTACATGAGGTGGAGACTCGTCATCGACATTGCGCGACTCTCACCTGGTAAAACTTTTTCATGTTTTCGGTGTCCGAGTGAACTTTTTCCCACTGGACACCGAAACATATGTGCTGCTTTGTACAGTGTGCACATGGACTCACACTTGTCCCAACGAACGGAAAGTGTGGAATTTCTTGTACAAGTCATCGTTAAATACACATCTGTGCTTCGTCACGTTACAGACTGACCCACTGTGTCTCGCTCCTTCGGTGTGCAGAGACACGTGTACAGACCCGTTTGGTCTAGAGACGTGTGGATGGCGGCTAAACCGCGGGTCGGGCGGATGACGTGATGAAAAATTATATTTTAATTAAATTCAGGCGGGTGGTTGTTTCACTACTCAAATAAAAAACTCTGAACTCTGACCAAATGGGACCGAGCGGATGGCGGGCAGATGCGGTTTTGAAAACTGGTTAAAAACTGGTTGCAAATGGACAGCGGGCGGATGAAAAAGTAGCCCATCTGTGCACCTCTAGTTTGGTCACGCTACGCACAGCAACCTACATTCAGTTTGTCGATTAAAATCAACATAATCAATGAAATTCTTAATGATCAATTATAGATTAATCATGCCCATCCCTAATTTTTATCTTCTCTTAGTTTATGCAAATTATGTGGTTTTAAGTTTTGTTTCTGTGAGAGTTGAACAAAACTGAATTAAACACATTATAATGTCAAACAGCTGATGTGGCTCTAGAGTCGTTACAGTTTATATGTCGTAAAGTTGAATTTATTTATGCAGATTAGTGCATTTTAATATAAAAACGTTAATGATTAATCGATAATCATTCATTCTTCCAACGATCGATTAAGAAAATTTCATCAAATGCCCAACCCTAACCTGGACACATCTGAACTCATAATCCACTTCTACATAATTCCTGGATCTCATGTTCTCCACAGACTCTTCTCTTTCTCAATGACTTCAGAACTGTGAGCTCATCCCGTGGCCTTGGACTGTAACAGATCAGAGTCTAAAAGAACAACACTCTGATATTAACACCGTGACACCGTCTGATTCTGGCACTGAACTCAACTTTGAGACGTTTTATTTTGTAACACCACCACCAGCAGCAGCAGAAACCCTTTACAAAAACACAAGAATGAAAAGTGCAAAGCTTTTGTGGTGTAGTTTGATCTTCACTGGTTACTGCCCTCTTTTGTATTTTAGGAACCTGTTGTTGTGTCCTTAGGCAAAACACACGGCTACATGAGGTGAGAGTGATCAGTGGTGACAAGAGGAGAGTGTAAAAATAATATATCAAGATCCTAAATGTTAGAGTACAGGTTATTGTGAGTTAACATATCGATATCTTCCTGGAGCGGGATCGACCGGAGTCTCACGATTCAACTCGATTACGTTTCTGAAGCTCAGAGTCGATGCAGAAACAATTATCAATGCTTCTATTTATTTATTTTGTTTATTTATGAGACAGGGACAGTGCAGAATCGACATTAACCTCAAGAGAAGAGATGTATTGTTCCAGGTTGAAGCACTAGAGATCATTTCCACCTGTCGTCCCTGGTGCGTGTTTTTGGTCAAGTACAATTCCAATAGAGTCTTGTTTTGTTGTGTATTTGGTTGTTCTAGAACACAGGTGTCAAACATACGGCCCGGGGACCAGATCCGGCCCTCCAAGACCTTTAATGTGGCCCTCGGCTGATTTTCTACAAAAATATTTTAATTATATTTTCTATTAAAATCTTGTTAATTTTCTGTGGTGTTTATCACAGCAGCGTCTCCAGCGTCTCTGTACGTGGCCCCTCCCACCAGAGCAGCACAAATGAAGACTTGTCTCTTTCCAAACGCTCTTAAAGGACGATCGTTTTGACTGTTGACCGTGACACCCTCATCAGAAAAATGTCCAACATGAGAAAAGTGGAGCCGAGTGCAGGATTTTACAACAAAAATGGACTTTTTCCTGTTTACAAACAAGTTCATGTTAAAACTTTGTGTTGACATTACATTTTTCTTAAAGTTTCAGGTTGTTCATAATATTATAATATTTTGTAAAGAAAGAGTTCATCAATTAAAAAAGATTTCTGTAATAGATTTGTGTTTCTCTGCACAAATATTTGAACTTATTGTTATTTTTGGGGTTTATATGACATGAGTTTTCTGATCCGGCCCCTTTGGGATCAAAGTAGGTTGGATACGACCCCCGGAATAAAATTAGTTTAACACCCCTGATCTAGACGCTCTGAAAGAGATAAAACAAATCGTTTCTTCACTGTTCCTCTGGAAATGACTCATCAGGATCAAACAAGGGAATTTAAAAAAAAAAAAAGGGAATTCTGGCCAGCAAAAATAAACCACAAAGAGATTTCCTATGGTATCATCAAGACACCTGAAGTTTCATCAAGGTATTTGCTATTTAAATTGTTTCATAGTTTATTTAATGAAAGAAGCACATTTACTGAACTAAAATGTCATTAATTCATCCAGGAAAACCTGCACTAGTTTATGATTCAACGAACCCACACTGGCTCCTGTGATCAACATGACGCACGAGTCGAAGAGTCTGTGAGCCGAACCTCGAAAGAATCGACCATGAAAAGATCTTTGCAAACATTAAAAAGATCCGCTCACAAAAACCGATTAATTCTAGAAGACACAGTTGTGGATAAACAAGACAATAAAAAAACATGGTCCTACGACGAGTGACATGTTTATATGTGCTGGAACATACAGTTTCTACTGCCACTCACACTGCAAATGTTTTCTTTTTACATTTTAGTTCAGTAAATGTGTTTCTCTCATTAAATAAACTATGAAACTATTTAAATAGCAAATACCTTGATGAAAGTGACCTGAGTGTGTCTTGATGGGACCATTGGAAATCTCTTCGTGGTTTATGTTCTCTAGACATAATTCCCGTTTTTTTTTTTTTTTTTTTTGAAAATTCCCTTGTTTGATCCCGATGAGTCATTTCCAGAGGAACAGTGAAGAAACGATTCGTTTTATCCCTTTCAGAGCGTCTAGAACCAAATACACAACAAAACCTGCCCATGTTTCTCTGATGCTGCTGAAGTCAGTGACATATCGTGCCTGGTGTCATGGCGGCGTAGGTACTGTTGCTGTCGGGGTCACGTGACGGTGCAAAGACTCTATACCCAACACTAGAACTAATATTTGAGACATTTAGAGACGGTGAACAGGCGTTTCAGATTCACAGGTGACACATTTCAATTTGTAGTCGCGCTATAAGCTCATTAAACGACGAGGAGCTGTGCGTTATGGAGTTTTAACGCGTGTCGTGGTGTTTTACGACTCCACGGTGACGTTTAAACTGCAGAACGCACGGCTCCATGTTGTTTAATGCTTGCATATTTCCTGGCATATTTTACTACAGCATTTTGTGGGTGCGCTACAGTTGTGTCGCTTGTTTAGATGTAGGGCAGCTGTGCGCTTGTGACACTTTTGAGATTCTGTTCAGGATTAGAGCAGGTGTGTTTCAGCCGTTTCACAGCTGAATCTGAGTCACACGGACTAATCCAACATGTTCTATGTTCTTCAAGTGAGTCACAAACACTAAACTTAATTCACTCGTTAAGTTCATTCATCTTAAATAAAAAGATAAACGCACCATTAGTGTTTTTAGTAGAAACGGGGTGGAGTCAGGTGTAAACACGCCTTTGTTTTTACTTTTACTACATCGACTTGTTTTAAATCACAGCACTGAAGTACAGTATTTTTTGGATTATAAGTGTCAGTTTTTTTCATGGTTTGGGTGTTTCCTGTGACTTCTATATTAAAATGTTTTTCGTGAAGTGTGGAGAGGTTCTAGTCTTGTGTGTGAGTATCTGCTGCTCCTGTTCCTCCTGTACCACTGTCACTTGGCTCTACTGCGCATGTCTCCTGCAGAAAGAGCCTCTGTCCTGTCTGTATCATGTCAGTCGATCGCACCGTTACTTCTGCACCACTGAACAATTTAACATTTAAACTTTAAACTTACAAAGACTGAGAAGACTGAACACAAATGAACACAAAAACAAAATCAGATTCTGCAGATTACAAACTGCAAGTTGTGAAATCTGCAGCTGAAAACGGAAATCGAGCAGCAGAAAGAAAGTTTGGAGTGAGAGACAAACTTGTGACACTTTATGAAACTTTCCTGAAGTAGAAGAAGAATTGAATGGATTTAGTGATTTGGAGTGAGATGGAGAGTTTGGTTAAACTTGTTCTGTTGTTTATGTTATAGTTTATCTGAAGAACTGTTCATATGTGACGTTAACAGTCTGTTGTTCTCACTTCTATTGTTACTACAACTTCACTTCACACAGGAAATGTCAGTTCCTGTTCTGACAGGAACTGACAGGAACTGCCCCCCCCCCCCAAAAAGTGCAACTTATAGTCAGAAAAATACGGCATGTATCGTATCGTGACTTTCTGACGATACCGAGCAAGACCAGAGTGGAATTTTGACCTCAAGAGCTGCTTATACAATACATCTGTACAGGAACTACACATTTTACTCAAATAAATGTGTTTGATTTTAACTCTGAACTGTAACAGCAGGAAGAGTCGCCAGTTTAATACACAGAGGATGTTAATGACTACCTAAAACTCCACTCACCGGCTTCTTGGCCTCCGGCTCCGCCTCCTCTGTGGACGCCTTCCTCTTCACGGCGGCCGGTTTCTCCTTGATGTTCTTCTGCGCCTCCAGAAACGCCGAGATCAGCTCCGGACAGTCCAGGTTCTCCTCGGGCTCCCACGTGTTGTCCGCACTGACGACAAAAACAAACAAAAAAAAACACACAAATCACACAAAATGAACTAAGAAAACGTTTAATTGGGGATGAATGAGTCGGCCACAAAAAACACAATAGGCACCGCCAAAAAGGAATTGCAATGCTGCCCGTAAAAGAAAAAAGAAAAGTAAAATTTGACAGTGTCACATCCCGACTTTACACCGACACTTCGCAGCTGATGTCGTCAACAGTCCCTGGGGTGACGCTAACTGGAGGCACTGCTCCGTCTCTCCAGTTAAGACTTTAATCTGAGTTTTGTTTTAACACAGTCCGACCACAAACAGACGGATTCGATTTAAACGAGTCGCTCAAATACGGTGATGTAATGCAATTATGTGTCTAACTTGTTTACGCTTTTGTATTTATCGTGTGTAAGGCCCCGAGACACACACCGAATTAGGCCTGTAACGAAAAGCAATAAATCAATTAAAGGTTGTATGGAGGATTTTTTTTTGTTTCAAATTGTCAGTGATAGATTATAGAGGTGCAGTAGCCTTGTAATTATGATGACCAAAAAAAAGAGAATAAAAATTCATCAACTCTGGACGTGGTGGGGCTAAACATTTGCCAATAGATAACGACACTGCCTCGTTATCTGTGAGCTGACAGGCTGTCAATCAAACTCCCTACGTTTCTAGTGTAACTGACTTGCCTGCGCCGCCGGTACGTGGTTTACGTACGACTGTCACGCAGTCCACAGACGCACAGACGCTGTTTACTCCACCAACGCAACAGTTCTTAGCGGCTTTTTTTGACCTATATCTTCCTCACAGTTCGCACAAAGTTTGTTGCAATGGCGACAAGAATCCAGGAGCAGTTCGCCGCAAAAGAAAGTCCGTTTTTTGAGGTCGCTGAAAAGAAGAAGACAAGGGGAAAAGCAGCGAAGCCAAACTAAGGTGATTCTTGAAGATTCATTCCAGCGATGGCGCGACTGAAGCAGACGCAGGGTCTAAAGACTGAACGCACTGGTCCACAAATTACTCCTGGACAGGAAACTTCTGCTTATTATGAAAACGTACTTTATTTCCAAGAGCTAGACAAATGTTTTTCAGGACACAAAAGCGATATCCTATGTCTGAAAACGTAATTTTCAAGGCAAAGAAAGAGTCCGCTTGCTGCTGCGTGTTGTAGCTAGTTCATTCGCACTGAATCTCCGCGCACCTTCTCTCTGCACCCCTTTCCTGCTCCTCTCCCCGCTGCCCGTTCCGCTCTTCCCCCTGCTCCTCACTTCTCCGGGCACGGAATCTCCGCGCACCGCTCCCTCTCCTCTCTCCTCTCCCTGCTCCGCTCTTCTCCCTGCTCCTCACTTCTCGTCCGCGCACGAAATGTCCGCGCACCCCCTCCCCCCGCTCCTCACTTCTCCGTCTTGCCTAACCAACACTGTAGTTAGTTGTTTACAAGTCATGTGCAGCGCACCGGCTGTAAACAAACCTGTTTCTGGCGTAAGGAGGAGGAGGGAGGAGGTGTTTCTACGTAGGAGCTGTAGGGGAGGGGAGTGGTTTCACGCATGCGCAACATTTGAAAAAGGACAAACAGTCGCTGGATTTCTCGTTCCTTGGAAAATCCTCCATACAACCTTTAATCGCATGAAAACATGTAACGAGCTCGATAATTTCTATTTGCATGCTTGTTTGTTTTCCTTGTTTCTCTCTCTACCGAAGAGACCGAGTGTCAAAAGATTGCCGTCACTCTCTACAGTTTCCTTCGCTTAATGACGCTTGAACGAACGTGTCGATTACGCGACTTAACACAGACTCATGTACAGACTGTATAAAAAGTGGACTAAGGGTCTGTTTTCACGAGAACGTTTGAGGGTAAAAACGACAAAACATTTGATCAGAAGTGTCTTTCGTTTATAGATGGTGACGGCGTTTTTGGGGCTTTAAACGCAAAAATCTGAACCCACCTCCAGAGTGGAAAAGTTGAATACACTTAACCATAGTGTTTCCGTCTATTAGGGATGGGCATTCGATGAAATTTTCTTAATCGATCGTCGGAAGAATTAATGATCGATTATCGATTAATCATTAACGTTTTTATATTAAAATGATCATTATTATTACTATCTGCACTACTAATCTGCATAAATAAATTCAACTTTACGACATAAACCGTAAACACTCTAGAACCACATCAGCCATAGTGCTACAGTTTTGTTGCTTGTGGAGTGAAAGGAAACTCATTTATGCGACACATTTGACATTTTTACTGTTTTGAGGATTAAAATGTTTGTGTTTCATATGAACTTTGCACAAGAAGAAGTGGTTTAACAAAGACTTAGTATCAGAGCCACGATTTAGCCTTAATTTTTTATTGAATCGATTTGAAATACATCATACTGAATCGAAAGTGCACTGTATCGAGACATGTATCGTATCGTGGCCTGTGTATCGAGACATGTATCGTATCGTGGCCTGTGTATCGAGACATGTATCGTATCGATCGTATCGCCTGTATCGTATCGTGTATCGAGACATGTATCGTATACCCAGCCCAAACATATATATATATATATATATATATATGCACAAAGGTATGTTATTGATTTAAATATTTCTTTGGAATAACTTTGTTTCTGGCCTTTATCGTGGCTGATTGATGTTCTCAAGATGAACATAAATAATCATCAAACTTGTTACGTTGAGTTTTGTGTATGCGTATTTACACTCTATTTTGTATTCTTTTCAGCTCTTACGGCAGATTGGAGGAATTATTGCTATTAAATCTAAAAATGGCCAGTTCAAGTGTCAGTCTTCATTCAGAGGGACACCCTACAGTAACTTCTGAACATCATAGACATACATGCAGACCCCCCACCCCAGCATGATGTCACTGCAAATATCAATACACTACACTGCTGTTAAAATCTCTTTGTGAGCTTGAGCATGCAGCAGCAGCAGCAGCAGCAGAGAGGAGACAAAGCCCCGTTCCGGCCCGTACCCGGCGGCTCCAGCTCAGCAGGGGGCAGCACAGAGCTCCACACTCACTCTGTAAAGCCCTTCCACTTCAGGTAGAACTCCACCTTCCCGTTGACGAGGCGCTGGTCCAGGATCTTCTCCACCACGAACTCCTCGGGCTCCTCTGACGGGCTCGAGTCTTTCTTGGACTTTGTGTTCTGCTTTTTCCCCATGGCGGCTACAAACACATGCAGACGGAAATGATCAGGAGGTAAAAGAAAAACGACAACATGAAACTATTCTAAGGAGGGACTTTTGAGACGCTGGGTCCAATAAATGTCCTTTTGAGGATGTATAAAGTAGGAAAGATGTGAAAGATGTAATGAGATGTCACATACCCATTTACTTTAGTTTCTTTAGACCCTTGGGAAGAAAATGACAATTATATTTTGGCTTCTCGTGTTCAACTTATTCTGCCCAGCCCACTTTTCTCTCTAAATCAGGAGTCTCCAACCTGCAGCTTCCAAGCAGCTCGCCAAAAGATCTCTGAATTAAACAAAGTAAAATTATATTAATTCAGTGCCTAGTACCACTCAATGTGTCAAAATTTGTGCACTACTGAATGGATAAAGGTTTATATTCAATCTGTGTGTCATTCATTCAACATAAAACCAAAAATAAAAAAATGAAAAATCAACGATTTTCTTCATTATTTGTCTCCAAAACCAAAAATGAAAAAAAACAAAAAAAAAAAACAGATTATTATTCATTTTTTTCAGTTTTTGATTTTGTGTTTAAATGAAAAACGGAAAAAAAAGAATAATGGCCGTTTCCAGTTTATGTGACTTAAACTGCGATGCCGGGACTGAGACCGGGACTGAGACCGGGACTGAGACCGGACCGAGACCGGGACCGGGACCGGGACCGAGACCGGGACGGGAGGCTCAGAGCCCACAGCAGGGCTTGAAGCTGAGGCTCAGACCCTGCGGAGGCTCAGAGTCAAAGCTCGGAGTCCGCCCTGGTCCCGGACCTGGATCCGTCCTGGTTCAGTCCGTATGCGGCTCAAAAATCCGGCATCGCAGTCACGGGAGTCACATAAACGGCCGTTATCTGTTTTTTCCATTTTTCATTTAAACACAAAATCAAAAACTGAAAAAACAAATCATTATCTGTTTTTTCATTTTGATTTTGGAGACAAATAATGAAGTTGTTTTTTTCATTTTCGTATTTTTGGTTTTATATTGAAAAATAAATGAACAAATGACACTCAGATTTGTGCCTAATCTAAGGTTCGCTGTTGCCCTTTTATTTAACAAATTTTTTGTGACGGTTTTCTGGTGTTTTCGTTTTATAAAAGGCAGCTCACCGGAGGATAAAGGTTGGAGACACCTGCTCTAAACGCCCCTAAATTGTGATTTTTGTTGCAGCACTTGCGGTTAAGCGGGAATCAGATTCATTTCAAAGAGAATTTGGAAACATGTGTACGATCCACAGCAAAAGACGCTGGTGGACACTGCACCGATGTAAGACGGTGTCCACCAGCGTCTGAGCACAACTGAAGAAGCTGCTGAACGTATTTGACCAAACAAACTTCTGACCAGTTGAGAAATTGAATTTCTCATTTTGCCAAGAATTTGGAAACGTTTTGCTGATTAAATCTGACATAAAGTTGGTTCATTTATGTAAAATGTTCAATGTTAATGTGACCTGGAGCTCTGAGGATTTAAAACGCCTTCGATGTGATTTGCTGTGAGGATCGGCTCTGTACAAAACAGAACAACCTGAACGTTTACAGCGACGCGCACTGAAACTTCTGGAATAAGTTGAAAATTAAAGCAACACTGTGGAACTTTCTGGAGTTGGCAATTCACCTGCATGATTCTACAGAAGCAGAAAGTTAAAACCTCCATGGAGTTAAGTCCAGGGTGACCAGACTTGGCCCTGTTTAACCGAGACAGTCCCAGTTTTGAGTCTGTGTGTCCTGTCCCTGTAGATTTATATAAAACCACTGATTTGTCCAAGTTTTATACAAGAAATGAACCTGGTGTCCCTGTTTTTGACCAATCAGGTCTAAACCGGGTCTAAACCAGGTCTAAACTAGGTGCCGAAATCAGACTATATCAGGTCAAAACTAGGACTAAACCAGGTCTAAATTAGGATTATATCAGGTCTAACCCAGGTCTAACCAGGTCTAACCCAGGTCTAAACCAGGTGCGAAATCGGACTAAACTGGGTCTGTATCAGGTCTAAAGCAGTTCTGTTTCAGGTCTAAACCGGGTCTAAACCAGGTCTAAACTGGGATTAAACCAGGACTGTATCAGGTCTAAACCGGGTCTGTATCAGGTCTAAACCAGGACTATATGAGGTCTAACCCAGGTCTAAACTAGGTGCCGAAATCGGACTATATCAGGTCAAAACTAGGACTAAATCAGGTCTAAACCAGGACTAAATCAGGTCTAAACAGGACTAAATCAGGTCTAAACAGGTCTAAAGGTCTAAAGGTCTAACTAACCCAGGTCTAACCAGGTAAAATCTAAACCAGGTCTGTAAGGTCTAAACAGTTCTGTATCAGGTCTAAACCGGGTAAACCAGGACTAAGGTCTAACCCGGGTCTAAACTAGGTAAATCAGACTATATCAGGTCTAAACCAGGACTATATCAGGTCTAAACCAGGACTATATCAGGTCTAAACCAGGACTATATCGGGTCTAAACCAGGTACTAAACTAGGACTGTATCAGGTCTAAACCAGGTATAAACTAGGACTATACCAGGTGTAAACCAGGTTTAAACCAGGTCTAAACCAGGACTTTATCACTACTCACCACAGTGCGTCCTCCTGCGGGGCCCTAAACTCTATTTACATTACGGAACATTCATTGATTCACTCACTTCTCTCTCTAAACTCATTTTATTTGACATTTTCAGAGCAGAGAGTGTTAAAAGCGCAGTTTGACCCTCAGATTTGCGCAGGTGGAGAAGAAAAAGCGCAGATAAACGCAGATAAACGCAGACAAACGCGTTCCGCTCCGGGCGCAAACAGGACAAAGCGCGCAAACACAGGCCGCAAACACAGGCCAAGAGCGGCTCCGAAACGCACGCAAACCCGCACGAAAACACCGCAAACCCGCACCGTTCCACCGCGAGCTCAAAGCAGATAAAAGCGCAGAAAAGTGAGATAATTTGTCTGTGTTTTGGTGTAAAAATCTGAGCATAAACGCAGCGGGGGGGGGAAAGCACAAAGAGGCGCAGAGGAGCTAACGCCGCGAGGCTAAAGCGCGCGCGGAGGCCAAACAGCGCAGCGAAAAGGGCCGAATCAGCGGGTTTGGAAAGAAAAGCTGGGGCGTTTTTATCAAGACAAATGTGAAATAAAATGTTCTTACCACGCGGTCGGTCCGGGTTCTGTCGGTGAGGAGCGGGACGAGCGCCAAACGCGAATGACCAGGGCGCTACGGGAGCCGAGGAGGAAGAACACGTGACCGCTCCCGCCCACGAGGAAGGAAGACGCGAGCATCGACTGTATTTATATTTATTTATTTTTATTATTTTTATTTTTTATATACACATTATTTTTATGTTTTATTTTTATATATATTGCTTTTATATATTATTATTTTTTTTTTTTTTTTTTTTTTTTTTTTTTCCCCAATCACGTGCGTTTGAGTACTTTAAAATAATATTAAGCAAGTTTATAGTTTGACCCGGGACAGTTTTGAGTCTGTGTCCCCTGTCCCAACAGATTTGTACAAAACCAGAGATTTGTCCCAGTTTTATACAAGAAATGAACCAGGTGTGTTTCTTTTTGATCAGTTTGAGCTAAACTAGGACAAAACTAAGACTAAACCAGGACTAAACCAGGACTACATCAGGACTAAACTAAAGGACTAAACTAAAACCTAAACTAAACTAAACCGGACTAAGAAAAACTACAGGACTAAACAAAAACTAAAGGACTAAACCTAGGACTAAAAACAGGACTAACTAAACCAGGGACTAAACTAAAGACTAAACCAGGACAAAAACTAAGACTAAACCTAGACTAAACTAAAACAGGACTAAAAAGACTAAAGGACTAAACTAAACTAAACAGGTCTAAAACCAGGACTAAACTAAACTAAGGACTAAACAGACTAAACCAGGACTAAACCAAGGACTAAACCTAGGACTAAACAGGTCAGGACTAACTAAACCAGGACTAAAACTAAAACTAAACTAAAAGGACTAAACTAAGACTAAACCAAACTAGGACTAAAACTAGGACTAAAACTATCACATTTTTAGACTAATCTGATCCCCTCCAACAGTAAAGAGGAGCATAAATGTTTTTTTTTTTTTTTTTGTCCAAAATAGAGAATCCACAATGTTTTCGCTTTTTTCACTATTTTATTTACACCAAACATCCAAACCCGAGTGTGTCCCAGTTTAGAAGTTTGTAAATCTGGTCACTCGAGTCCAGTAGAAGTAGATCCTGGACTGTTTTATTGCAGTTTTTCTATAAATTCAGACTCCGGGTCCAAACGTGTTGGCTTCAATAATACAGTAACAGTAACAAAAAAACACGTGAAAATGAAAATCTGCCTCTCGCTCTGGTGAAACTGAAACCATGTCAGTGTGACGAGGTGGAGCGTTTCAGACCTGCAGCTTCAGGAAGTCACTGGTTAAACCGTTTTAGATCAATATTACAGTTTACAAAGAACAGAGAGTAAAAATATTGATCTGGGTCTGTTATAGTTTGATATTAAATGCTCCAAAACGTGCGTCAGGAGTCTTTGTTAAATGCATTTATTTGTCTTTACAGTGATTTTAATTTATTCTGGGTTTTGTGAGGCTAAAATAACTTAATCTGGAACTTAAATAACTTAAATAAACCTTTTTTTTTTTTCAAGATGAAGGTGACCAGACGCCCATATTCACCCGGGACAGTCCCAGTTGTCTCCTGTCCCAACAGATTTATACAAAACTATTGATTTGTCCCAGTTTTATACAAGAAATGTCCCAGGTGTGTTTATTTTTGACTAATCTGATCTAAACCAGGACTAAACTAACATCAGGTCTAAAGCAGGACTAAACTAGGACTAAAACAGGACTAAAACAGGTCTAAACTAACATCAGGTCTAAACCAGGACTAAACTAAGACTAAACCAGGACTAAACTAAAATTAATCCAGGACTAAAACAGGACTAAACCAGGACTAAAGTAAGACTAAACAGGACTACATCAGATCTAAACCAGGACTAAACCAGGTCTAAACCAGGACTAAACTAAGACTAATCCAGGACTAAAACAGGACTAAACCAGGACTAAAGTAACATCAGGTCTGAACCAGGACTAAACTAAGACTAAACCAGGACTACATCAGATCTAAACCAGGACGAAACCAGGTCTAAACCAGGACTAAACTAAAACTAATCCAGGACTACATCGGATCTAAACCAGGACGAAACCAGGTCTAAACCAGGACTAAACTAAAACTAATCCAGGACTACATCAGATCTAAACCAGGATGAAACTAAGACTAAACCAGGACTAAACTAAAACTAATCCAGGACTACATCAGATCTAAACCAGGACGAAACTAAGACTAAACCAGGACTAAACTAAAACTAATCCAGGACTACATCAGGTCTAAAACAGGACTAAAACAGGTCTAAACCAGGTCTAAACCAGGACTAAAACAGGACTAAACTAACATCAGGTCTGAACCAGGACTAAACTTAGACTGAACCAGGACTACATCAGGTCTAAACCAGAACTAAATTAAGACCAAACCTGGTCTAAACCAGGACTAAACTAACATCAGGACTAAACCAGGACTAAAAAAGGACTAAAACAGGTCTAAACCAGGACTACCACAGGACGATCAATTTTAACATTTTTTTTTATAATCCGGTCCTTTCCAACAGTAAAAAGGAGCATAAATTGTCATTTTTTTGAGAGTTATTGTGAACGCGTTAAATAAAGTTTGACTGACTTATTGAACTGTTGTGTTTCGTTTAAAGCGCCTTAAAGTCCGGTGTGGTTTATATGTGAAAAAAGTTCGAAAATAGACAATTCAATGACAGAGCGCTTTATAATCCAGAGCGCCATTTTTAATTTTACTGCAACTTTAGGAGCTTTATGTTTCTGTTTTTTGTTTCTGTTTAAATTGTTGTGGATGAGACACTGGGGTGGGGGGTGATGTTTTTAATTACTGTATTTTTTTCTGTTGCATGTGAAGTGCTATATAAAAAAAGTTTGATTGATTAAATTGCACTTTTAATGATTCTGTTTCATGGATTTTGTTTGACTGAAAGTTAAACCCTGATCACTTTATAGAATTTCCTGGTGCATTCTTAAATTTCGATCATTGTAAAACATTTCCTTGTTCCTCAAACCTCAACACGAGTTTCTCTGTGTGTGTCACAGTCCAAATAGAACAGAACAAACCAGGACTAAAGTAAGACCAAACCAGGTCTAAACCAGGACTAAACTGAGACTAAACTAAGACTAAACCAGGACAACATCAGGACTAAAGTAAGACCAAACCAGGACTAAACCAGGATTAAACTAAGGCTAAAACAGGTCTAAACCAGGACTAAACTGAGACTAAACTAAGACTAAACCAGGACTAAACTAAGACTAAACCAGGACTAAACTAAGACTAAACCAGGACTAAACTAAGACTAAAACCAGGACTAAACTGAAGACTAAACCAGGACTAAACTAGACTAACAGGACTAAACTAAGAAAAACCAGGACTAAACTAAGACTAAACCAGGACTAAACTAAGACTAAACCAGGACTAAACTGAGACTAAAACAGGACTAAACCAGGACTAAACTAAGACTAAACCAGGACTAAACTGAGACTAAACCAAGGACTAAACTAAGACTAAACCAGGACTAAACTAAGACTAAAACAGGACTAAACCAGACTAAACTGAGACTAAACTAAGACTAAACCAGAACTAAATTTAACATCAGGTCTAAACCAGGACTAAATTAAGACTGAACTAAGAGTAAACCAGGACTACATCAGGTCTAAACCAGGACTAAACTAGGCCCAAACTAGGACTAAACTAAGACTAAACCAGGACTCTCATATTTTTTGACTAATCTGGTCCCTGCAAACAGTCAAGAGGAACATAAATTGTTGTTTGTTTGTCCAAAATATATATTAAAAAACGTGTTTGTGAATGAACATAAATCAAAGAACAGGAACCAGACTTCAGACCAGAAAAAGGTGTTTTTTTTTATTTTTCATCAGAAACATCATCGCCCTAGAAGCCAAACCATACGAGCAACATCCACAATCACCATGCAGTCAAACAGCTCAAATCAACAGAAAAAAAACAGCTTCAAACCAGAATATAAAACAAAAAGAATCATAAACGCTCAAACTATATTAAATTAAACACAACCTTAAAGGACCGGAAAAGGAAAAAGGAAAAAGGCCGCTCTTAATGAGAGACTGTCTTCAATCATTTACGCAACAAATGAGAAAAGTGAAAGGGCCAACAGTCCAATTTCAACAGCGCTGATTGTATTCCTTTAAACCTTTTTTTTTTTTTTTTTACTCGAAATTATGAATTGTTTTTTCCAAATCAAGAAATCAAGCATGAGGTAGAAGAGTCAACTTGTACTAAGGGGAAAAAGTGAAGTCATTTAAAAAAAAGAAAAAGGTCCTTATATGACGGAAATAAACTCTTCAAGTCGAGTTCAAATGTTGTTCCCTCCAGAGTCCTGCACTGGGTACGAGCAAAAAGTTACTGAAACGAGCCGGTACTGATGACACACGGGCGGGTCGGGACTAAACCAGGACTAATCTTGGACTAATCTTGGACTTAAGAGCGAGAGAACCCTGAGCCCGTGGAGCAGGTGTCCACAAAGCGAGATCAGGCGACGGCTGCGTTTACCTCCGTGGGGCGCGGTGATCTGAGCCGGTCCTTTTGCCTGCGGTCCTGGTTTAAGTCCTGGTTTTAGTCCTAGAATCAGGCCTAGGTTAGTCCTGGAATTAATCCTGGTTTTAGTCCTAGGATCAGTCCTAGTTTTAGTCCTAAATTAGTCCTGGTTTTAGTCCTGGTTTTAGTCCTAGGTTAGTCCTGGTTTTAGTCCGAGAATCAGTCCTAGGTTAGTCCTGGTTTTAGTCCTGGAATTAATCCTGGTTTTAGTCCTAGGATCAGTCCTGATTTTAGTCCTGGTTTTAGTCCTAAATTAGTCCTGGTTTTAGTCCTAGAATCAGTCCTCGGTTAGTCCTGGTTTTAGTCCTAGGTTAGTCCTGGTTTTAGTCCGAGAATCAGTCCTAGGTTAGTCCTGGTTTTAGTCCTGGAATTAATCCTGGTTTTAGTCCTAGGATCAGTCCTGATTTTAGTCCTGGTTTTAGTCCTAGTCCTGGTTTTAGTCAGTCCTGGTTAGTCCTGGTTTTAGTCCTAGGTTAGTCCTGGTTTTAGTCCGAGAATCAGTCCTAGGTTAGTCCTGGTTTTAGTCCTGGAATTAATCCTGGTTTTAGTCCTAGGATCAGTCCTGATTTTAGTCCTGGTTTTAGTCCTAAATTAGTCCTGGTTTTAGTCCTAGAATCAGTCCTCGGTTAGTCCTGGTTTAAGTCCTGGTTTTAGTCCTAGAATCAGGCCTAGGTTAGTCCTGGAATTAGTCCTGGTTTTAGTCCTAGAATCAGTCCTCGGTTAGTCCTGGTTTTAGTCCTGGTTTTAGTCCTAGGTTAGTCCTGGTTTTAGTCCTGGAATTAATCCTGGTTTTAGTCCTAGGATCAGTCCTAATTTAGTCCTGGTTTTAGTCCTAAATTAGTCCTGGTTTTAGTCCTAGAATCAGTCCTCGGTTAGTCCTGGTTTTAGTCCTAGGTTAGTCCTGGTTTTAGTCCGAGAATCAGTCCTAGGTTAGTCCTGGTTTTAGTCCTAGGTTAGTCCTGGTTTTAGTCCGAGAATCAGTCCTAGGTTAAGTCCTGGTTTTAGTCCTGGAATTAATCCTGGTTTTAGTCCTAGGATCGGTCCTGATTTTAGTCCTAAATTAGTCCTGGTTTTAGTCCGAGAATCAGTCCTAAGTTAAGTCCTGGTTTTAGTCCTGGAATTAATCCTAGTTTTAGTCCTAGGATCAGTCCTGATTTTAGTCCTGGTTTTAGTCCTAGGTTAGTTCCGTTTTAGTCCTGGTTTTAGCCTTGGTTTTAGTCCTAGAATCAGTCCTAGGTTAGTCCTGGTTTTAGTCCTAGGTTAGTCCTGGTTTTAGTCCGAGAATCAGTCCTAGGTTAAGTCCTGGTTTTAGTCCTGGAATTAATCCTGGTTTTAGTCCTAGGATCGGTCCTGATTTTAGTCCTGGTTTTAGTCCTAGGTTAGTTCCGTTTTAGTCCTGGTTTTAGCCTTGGTTTTAGTCCTAGAATCAGTCCTAGGTTAGTCCTGGTTCAGTCCTGGCTTAGTCCTGGTTCAGTCCTGGTTCAGTCCTGGTTCAGTCCTAGTCCTGGTTCAGTCCTGGTTCAGTCCTGGCTTAGTCCTGGTTCAGTCCTGGCTTAGTCCTGGTTCAGTCCGTGGCGTCCTGTGCGACGCAAAAGTCCGGCATCTTGATCAGTTTTTCTTCTGCTTAATAAATACTGTGATAAAGTGATGACGTATTTTTGACAGCAACTGTTTTTTTATTTCATGATTGTAATTCTTTAAGTCGTGACTTTTCAGTTAATATTCTGACGGATGCTTCAGTTAGAATAATTTTAATCTGTGTGTGATTTATCTCGGTCACAGGCGAGTAACGGGTTTAACTTTCAAATAATCACGGGTTAACGGGCGGGTTGAGGGTCTCCGACAACAGACCCGTGCAGGACTCTGGTTCCCTCCTCAAAAACAGACCTGGAGTTGTGTTTTGTTTCCTTCACACGTTTGAGTAATTATGAGTCTGTCTGCATCTCCAAAGCTCAAAACGCTCTGTTCCACCTCGTGATGTCATTTAGTAGTAGTTATGTTAGGTCAACAGCCGTTTTTACCCTCATTTTGTTGCTTTTATTTTTAACTTTTACCGTTTGTTCAGTGGAGATTGTCGATAAAATGTCTGAATGAGAAGTGGAGCAGTTTCAGAAAAATCCAGGTCTGGGAGGATAAAAATGATTCTCGTGAAGCCGTGCGGACTTCGAAAACACAGTGGAGACCTTCATTACCACTTTATGACATCACGAGGAGGAGCCGGGTGCTTTGAAACTGAGAAAAGCACTAACCCCTGAACCTAAAATGAAACGTGAACGACACAAAACACAACTCCAGGTGTTTGTGACGCTAGAAAACAGTGCGATGGGCCCTTTAAGCGTGATATTGTCGATGTCATTTCGCCTTTCCAAACGTTACACTCACAGAAAACCAAACGTAGGATGAGATATGACGGTTAAGGCATTGGTATCGTGTATGTCGCCAAGGCAACAAACAAATTAAATCCAGCCCGGCACTGCAGAGCCCCGCCCTCGCCTCTGTTTAAAGTTCCACACTCACCTGGTCAAATACTCATGGACTGGGAGAATAAATATTTGTTCTACTTTGGAAGGATGTGCTCTACCTGCCCCTGGCCCGGTTCTGGTTCTGGTTCTTGGCCGTGAGCAGGTTTCTCGTCGGCGGCTCTTCTTCTCCTCGGAGCCGCGGGAGTCCAGTGTTTGTAAAAGCGACATGGGAGCGTCGAGTTTGAGGAGTCCGGCGTCGGCGTGTCCACGCGGAGCTACAGCTTGGCTCAGTACGTCGAGGTCTGTACCGCTTCAGAGACGCGGCGGGCGGTCCAGGTTTGGAAAAGGGCCAACGTCGGAACACAGACGAGACAGAAAAGTAAAAAAAAAAAGGAAATGCGCGAGAGACTGAATGGAATCACAAATGAGGACTGTGCGTGAGTTTGGACAGATCAGATTATACAGCAGCATTGACACCGTTTTGTAGAAGAAGTGTGGTCGTGTGGCTGTACGCTCCAGTGGACACGCGCCCACACCCATGTCACTTATGTAGGCTACATTTAACTTTGTCCTGGTTATTGCGCCCCCTGCTGGTGCTCCACACGCCGGCAGAGAGCGCACAGTTCAGGCTCACAGGCTTTTTCAGTCACTGCTTCTTGCCTTTCTTGCGTTTGTCCGTTTTGTTCCCCGTGGCGCCCGACACGGTGGGTCTGCGGGCGGGCACCAGCACCACCCTGCCGTTGGCGCCGCACTGGAGGGAGTACCTGTCTGGGGTGAGGGGCTGCCCCAGAGGGTCCCTGAGCCTGGACAGAACGTCTCTGGTGAGCTGTTGGATCTGCTGACCCACGGCGCACATGGTTTTGGCCGTGAGCCGTTTGTCTCGCAGGAGCCGCTCCCTCTGGGCCTGGAGGCGGGACACCTCCTCCTGCAGGCCCGTGATGGCATCCAGTTTGCGTTTACGGCAGTTCTGAGCGGCCAGTTTGTTCTTGCCTCGTCTGCGGATGTCCCTGAGCAGAGTGACCTGCTCGGAGGAGAAGCCGTGGCTGTCCAGCACCTCCAGAAACTCCTCCACGGGCATGTTGACGATCTGCAGCACAGAGAAGGGCAGACACATGGCACGAGCACGGACCTCGTCCCGACTCAGCTCTCGTTCCTCCAGACCACACTCCTCCTCCTCCTCCTCGCTCAGAGGCTCCTCTTTAATGCCCTTGTGGGGGTAGGTGAGGGGGGACGAGTAGCTGTGGTCGTGCCACACGCTCTCGCTCAGATCTACAGGAGACCAGGAGCCGTGGTCCAGGACGCTCTTAGAGTCCACCTCACTGCTGTAGCCTGTAGCTCCACACTCCTCCTCACACAGAGAGGAGGACGACGAGGACATCTCAGAGGAGCCTGAGGGGAAAGGGGCATTAGATCATCATTAGTGTCACATGTGGGTGTGGAGAAAGTGGAGGAACATGTGGAGCATCTCCAGAGTCACTAGGAGAAAGACTCTGTGCCCTCAGTGTGACGTACCTGGGGAGCCAGGCCCTCCGGAGCTGCTCTCCAGAGACAGGCCCGAGTCTGAGTCAAAGTCCTCGAGCAGCTGAGGGTCCAGGCAGCTGAGCAGCTGCTGGTCCATGGAGTCCAGCCCCTCCAGTCCCAGCTGGTTTATCTGGTCAAACACGGCCTCGTCCAGGCCGCCCCCCAGGCCCTGAGAGGAGCCCCCGCTGAAGTTACACACGGAGGCGAAGGGCAGAGCCGCCAGCCCCAGAGCCAGGCCGGGCGACGAGGGGTCTGTGTGCTGCGGCGTCGTGGGCGGAGACATGATGGCGTCCTGCAGGGTGAGGTCCTCCAGGCTCAAGTCCCCTTGGAGGGCACTAGACAGGTCTGTGTCCAGATCAGGGAGACGAGCGCCGACCAGAGAGTCCAGGTCCTGCACACCAGACACGGGTAAGATCCTCTGTACAAGTGCACGTGTGCACACACCATACACACATACACACGCGCACATACACGTGCACGTGCACACACACACACACGCGTGCGCACACACACACACGTGCACGCACGCGCACACACACACGTGCACGGATGCGCACGCACCCACGCACGCACTTTACCAGTACTACTACTTCAGGTCAAGGAGACATGAACACATTAAAGCGTAAGAAGTGTAATAATTTGTGTATAATCTGATATCTGCACTTCCTGATGTGAGCTGAAGCTGCAGGAGCTGATCGTTCAGACTCAGGCCCTGGAGTCTTTATCTGTAACATTATCTCTTTATAACACACGCTGAACTCCCGCATGATACACTGAGACTAATATTACAGTGATGCAGTTGAAGCTCCTGGTCCTGGCTCAGGTCACACGGTGCAGGCAGGTGCTCACCTCCAGGTCGCTCACAGACAGGTGCAGGAGCTGGCTCCAGGACTGGTCTGTGTCAGAAGGTCCATGGAAGCCTGAGTGATGGGACAGAGCTCCAGCGCCCCCGAGGAGAGACTGGAACAGACACACACACACACTCATGTTCACACATGTTCTCCTCTGAGCTTAAAGACACATGTGAGAAGAACAGGAGACGTACCTCCTGCTCCAGAGACGAGCTGTGGGCCAGAGGAACAGGCTCATCCTCCTCTTTGACCTTCACATCTTCATTCTGCAAACAAACACAAAGACACTTATATTAAAGAGAGAGATTAGAGATTGTTTGTGTTTGTTTGTGTGTGTACTGAAATCAAAATAAGCAATAATCAACTGTAAATTATTTCTGTAATCACTCAGTGCCACAGTTTTAGTAAAATTCTTTTACTTGTTCAGCCTGTGGGCACAAACTGAACCCCCCCCCCCCTTCAGATTTCACTAAAGCATCAGAACATTTAAAGCTGTTACACGATGGAACATGAACAACTCCAATATGACACTTTGGAGCATAATTTAAACACAGTGGAGCACTCCCTGTATCAACACATGACATCACAAGGTGGAACAGAGTGATTTCTGTCTGAGAGAAGAACTCCTAAATGTGCAGAGTTTGAGTGTTAAACATGTGAATGAAACAAAACACAAATCTGTCCGTTTGTGACGAGGAAACGACATTAGAACAGTTCAGAAAATCATGTAAAATGGGCCGTTTAATGTAACGCTCCAGTTGAAGCTGCGCACTCAAAAATAAGTTAAAGACGTTTTCATTTGAGGACAGTGTGACACGAGAGCGAAGCAGCGAGGTCATGTCAGTGCTGCACTCTTCACCGGGTCACTGAGATAAAGGAGATACCGGAGTCACCCACTTTACCACTGATCTTAAGGCCAAATATTTCATAATCTAAGTCTGTAGCAGCGCTTGGGCCCTGCCGCAGCCTGCTCCTGCCGCAGCCTGCTCCTGCCGCAGCCTGCTCCTGCCGCAGCCTGCTCCTGCCGCAGCCTGCTCCTGCCGCAGCCTGCTCCTGCCGCAGCCTGCTCCTGCCCCTGCACAGTCAGCAGGTTCACGCTTTCACAACAAGTGTACTCAAGATCGCAAAGTCATCTGGGTCAAAACCAGTCTTAAAACATCTGGAACAAGTTGTACACGCTTTTATTTCATCACTTTGCTTTTGGAGCTGGTGGAGAGTGACGATATCGCTGTAAACTGGTGATAAAACAGTGCTCTTTTGGCTTTATAATGTTTAATTTTATGTATCTGTGATTAATTTTAATAATAAAAAGTTCAAAGTTTGCATTTTAAACAAGAAAAAGACTGAAATTTGAATAAATAAAACATTGCGGGACACGTTTGTACAGATCTAAACTACAGGGTTAGACGTTTTTACGCAGAATAAGATAGAATTTTGTTGTTGTTCAGAAATTGCAGCCTTTGGAATTGCTAAGAGCTTCCATTCAAATTGTAATTTTGATTAATCTTGCAGCCCTGGTAAAAAATTGTACTTTTATATTAATTGTTATATTAAAAAATGCCATTGATGTTTATTCTTAATCAGTGTTGGGAAGGTGACTTTTAAAATGTAATCCCCTACAGATTACAGATTACACACACCAAAATGTAGTTTGTAACGTAATCCATTAAATTACTTAAAGTGAGCAATGTAATCTGAATACTTTGGATTACTTTATTTGCTGTAGAGAAGCAAAGACGAGGAAACTTAACCATATTAAAAATATTATTGATAGAAGAGGAGGAGACACGTCTGAGCAGCATGATTTAGTCCTGTTAAATCCTGTTTTAGTCCTGGTTTTGATCTAGTTTAGACCTGGTTTTAGTCCTGGTTTAGACCTGGTTTTAGTCCTGTTTTAGACCTGGTTTAGATCTAGTTTAGATCTAGTTAAGACCTGGTTTACACCTGGTTTAGACCTGGATTTAGTCCTGATTTTGTCCTGGTTTAGAGCTGGTTTAGTTTCCAGCAATGAGTGGAAAAAAAAAATATAATAATAATAATAAATAAATAAAAATAGTAGGAAAACAGGAAAATCCCGCCGTGTAATCTATTTATTTCAACAAAGTAACTGTAATCCAATTACCACTCACTGAAACAGTAACTGTAACTGAATACAGTTACTCATAATTTGTACTCTGATTACATAACTCCGGTACATGTAATCTGTTACTCCCCAACACTGTTCTTAATATCAAAATTGAGTTGAAATTTGACATTTTAGTATTGTACCAAGATTAAAATGCTTTGATTGTGTTTTTTGTTGTTATTTTTTATGCATAAAAATGACAATCAAGTTTGGGCAATGAATTAAATTTGAATCAAGATCAAGATTCAGTCATTTCTGTGGTTGTTTTTAACGGAAACGTCCACAGTCAATCCTCTGGCAGAAGGAGTGTGTGGAAACCTTGAGAATTTTTACATTTTTTGGTGTTAAATGGAACTAAATAAAAGTCTGTAGTGTTCATGTTCCAGAAATATATAAAGAAAACCTTTTTATTAGTTTTTAAAGGTGCATTGTGTAACTTTTCTGGTGGAGGATCTGTCAAATAAGTAACTTTTCTCCACAGAGACGTTATCGCTTTGTCTGGAATGTTTCACAGTATGACTTTAAACCTTTTTATCTTCATGGAAACCAAACCAGACCGAGTTACAGGTCAGATCTGCGTAGAGGCGACGCCGCTCACAGTCAGAATGCCAGTTTTGTGACGTTTTTTTGAGCTATAAAACCACCTTGAATTGTATAAATGTAAAGTAGAGCTGCTTAAAGTCACACTGCGGAACATTCCAGACAAAACAATAACATCTCCATACAGTAGAAACAAGCCGTTGATGGAAGCCTGACCAGAAACGTTACACAGTGCACCTTTAATTAGACCAAATTAAACTGAAAATTGTGATCAGCCGATAAGAGAAAATCACCAAATGGTTTCAAACGTTTCTGAATTTTTTTTTTTAACAGTTTTTTTGATCTTATCTCGATGTGGAGCCGCTCGCGTGTCGTTATCAGCGCACGCAGAAGCCTGGATGTTAACGTCTGGATGCTGTGGGTGTGGTGGAGCCGACGGGCTGACTGGACCCCCCTCGCAGCAGCTGGCCGGGGGGGAGGCAGGAGGGACAAACGGGGGGTGTCCGGTTACATAAAGCCCCACGGCCCCCGGGGACAGGACACCGGAGCAGCTGCCCGTCTCCGGTCGGGGCAGGGGCAGGGGCACCGGCGGGTTCCAGTGGGCGAGTGTGGGTTAGAGAGGCCTACAGGACAAAGCTGTGGGATTAGTGGAGTGAAGTGTCAGAGGTGACGCTGTAGACAAAGCCTCAGTGTGGAGGTGGAGCCGCCGGGCGTTTGTGAGGTGGAGAATTAGGTCAGTTTAAAAAAAAAAAAAGTCCCATTATTACAGTTTTCTGATTTGTGTTAACAGTTTCCTCATCACAAACCGACCTGGAGTTGTGTTTTTGTTTCATTCACACAGTTTAACACACAAACCTGCACACACCAGTTCTTCTCACAAAAAAACTCCCTAAAAACTTGTGGTAATACAAGAAGTGCTCCACTGTGATTTTAAAGTACATTTCACTACAATCATGTGGATAATTTCAGCCCTAGAACTGCCAAACTCTACTGAACAAAAGGTAAAAGGAGCTGTTAACATGAAAACTACCACTATATGACATCACAAGGTGTAACAGAGCATTTTAAGCTTTGGAGAAGTAGACAGACCAATAATAAAGAGTTACTCAAACATGTGTGAATGAAACAAAACACAACTCCAGCTCAGTTAATGATGAGGTAACATGATAGAACATGATTAAAAGCTCACAAGAGTCAGTTTTTTTTGTAATGTAAGAACTTTAAATAAAATATTTTAAAAACTACGTGAACAGAAAGAACAAAAATGTGTCTGTTTGCTGCAGGTGTTCCAATCAGAGGGAGCAGGTAGAGCAGGCATGTCCAAACTATGGCCCGTGGTCCAAATGCGGCCCTCAGACAAATTTTTATAGGTGAATTGGCCCATATTACCTTGCATCAATTAAAAATTTACTTTTTGCTGCAAGGTTTTTGAAAATCTACCTTGATAAAGCTCATATATAATATTTAGTGTGTGGTTTTAAGGATCTGAGCATGAATTAAGTCCGATGGGTCATTCTAACGTGTTAAACATGCACATACTTGAATTATTCACTGTATTGAGCTCCAGTCTGTGGCCCTCGATCAGACTTCTGCTTCATCTGTGTTTAAATATGTGGACCTTGATGAAAAAAGTTTGGACGCCCCTGAGGTAGACGGTGCTCTTAGAAAAGGGATCGAAACTTAAAACGTGGCCCGGGCCTTTCTGTGCTCCTTATTGGGAGCCGTGTTTTCTCTTTCTCTCACTTTTTTTTCCTCTTCACGCCGCGTGCAGACTCGCGGTAGTTTCGACAGCGGCTGAAAACAAAACTTTCAGAAATCTGCGTGTGCACAGGATAAAAAAAACGTGCATGTTTGGTTGTAGTTCAGCATAAAATAAATAAACCAGGTTTAATCTTGGGCTCGAGAGACGGAGAGAGAGATGGAGGCCGAGTCCCGACACTCAGTCCTGGTTCAGTCCTGGTTTAGTCCTGTTTTACACGTGGTTTAGATCTGTTTAAGTCCTGGTTTAGTTCTTTTTCAGTCCTGGTTTAGACCTGGTTCAGTTCTGGTTTAGTCCTGCTTGCAACAAAACAACCTGAAGAGCTACTTGGGAGCCAAAAGAGCCGGCGAGCCAAAAGAGCCGGTTCTCTAAAAAGAACTGGAATCCCCATCACTAGTAGATAAAATGTGATGCAAAAATGCCATTAGTCCGACCTACTGTCTGTAAATATGACGTACAGAGGCAGAATAACAATAAATGTTGCCTAAATAAACCCAATTTAAAATCCACTAGAGCCAAACCTAAGTTTTTTTAAACAATTCAAGATTTACAGTGAATTTTTACATCACTAAATATATATCGGCAGCTCCAACTCCCATTTTATCGGTTTCATATCGGCCACGACAAAATCCATATCGGCCGGGCCCTAGTTTGCATGTCTGTCCCCGTGTCTGGATGGGTTTCGTCCGGGCGCTTCCGGTTTCCCCCATCAACCCAAAACATGTTACATAAGTCTCCACGAACAGTTGATAGTTAAGGTCAATTAAATACAATCAATCAATGAACCTGCCCAAAGACGACAGGTGGAAATCAACACTGATGCTACAACCTGATGTACAACA